ACACATATTTCACTGTATATGCTAAGATCTCAAGGTGAAGTACTACAATAAATACAATGTAAAACAATTCAGAACTCGTGGCGCAGTGGTTAAAACGCTGTACTGCAGCTAAAACTGTGCTCACGACCTGGGGTTCAAATCCCAGGTAGCCGGCTCAAGGTTGACTCAGCCTTCTATCCTTCCGAGGTCGGTAAAATGAGTATCCAGCTTGCTGGGGGGGGGCAATGTGTAGCCTGTATAATTAAATTGTAAACCGCCCGGAGAGTGCTTGTAGCGCTATGGGGCGGTATATAAGTCCAATAAATAAATAAATAAATACTTGAAAACCATTTAGAAACACTGAAAGCATTAAAAAGTGCACACATATATGCATAAATACAGCCACATTTTCCTTACAGTTAGATATGGAAAAGCAACTTCTTTAAGGCTGCTCAAGATAAGGAGGTCAGGTATTTCTTATCAGTTGGGTGGTAAGGGAATAAAGGAGAAAAGGTAAGTATATATTTATGCACTTATTCAGGCGCCACTGTTGATATTTCCTGAAAGGCCTGGCACTACTGCTAGGCAGAGGGAAGTGGTCACAACTGGCACTAGATTTTGGCTGTTGTGCAATGGCAGAAAATTGTTGCTTACAATTTCGTTTCATTGTATGTCAGCCTGAGGACTCTACTGTAAGGAAATTCTCTAAGCTGGCAGCAAATCATAGGATTTTGAAGGACATTGTGGCTGAAGGAGCTTTCATACTGTTCTCTTCCTCTCACGCAAATGATTTCCGAGGATCTGGGCATGATTTTGAAGCCTAAGTGGGGAGTAGTGCAGATTTGTGCCACTGAAAAAGTGACAAGAGATTGCATCATCAGTATCATGGTGCAAACACAAGAATGTTTTGAGTGCTTCTACAGCAAACAAAGTGGGGAATATCTTCAGTCTGTTAATTGTGTGAGCTTACCAAGTGGTGCAGGTTTTGTCTGTGCTATATATTGCATGTGGTGGAACATTATAGCCACCACCAAAACAGAAAGTCTTTGTGTGGCCTATACAATGGCAGTTCTGTATGGCTTAAACATACTGCAGTAGCTTAACAACAAACAGCACAATAAATGCTTTATTCAATGTCTAAATTGCGGCTTTAATTTCATACATTAGCAAGGGAAAGTAGTTGGGTAAAAGGAAGCATTTTAAATACTACAGTGCTATTGGTCCTTTCTGTAGTTGCTCCTACTCAGCCATATGAATGAATACACTTGCATATAGAAACGAAAGATATCTGAGGGTTCAACTACACAGCAAGATAAATGCAAATTCACTCACAGTGAAGGAGCAGCAGGGATTTGATTTTCCCCAGGTCTTTTTATGTTAAGTGGCCACTCTGGAGGAAATTGGCTAAAAAAACCCGGTCTGCAGCTTGTTAACGTAGCTTTCATGTAGCGCCGCAGGAGACACAGCTACAGGAGAACTATCTTAATAAGTTATAAAGGCTGAGTGGCAATTTCCTTCTCTTGTCTTCTCCTCCCATCCGTCCGTCCATCCATCCTTCTGTCTGTCCGTCCATCCGTCTGTGTGCCCTAATGTAACAGCCCTGGCATCAAGCTGTTTAAAGAAAAGAAAGGAAGAGAAGAATAAAAGAAAAAAGAAAAGAAAAGAAAATGCATTATTTGCAAAGGTTTAGCCCTTCTGAGATTGATCTTTGCCCAGCTGCACCATCACATCAATCACAGCACACATTTTTCTGTATTGGTTCAGGTGATTGCACCTTGTGAACTGATGAGAATGGATCCACTGTGGAAAAAAGTAGAAGTCCCAGTGGCAAAGGGAAAAATATTTGTGTTTACATCAGGTGGTCAATGAACAAAAATGTGAATCAGACTATCACTGTCCTGTAGTATTTCCCACTCCCTCCCCCAGTCAATCTTGTCTCATGTGTAAGCTCTAGGCATGAGCAAAAACACTTGAAAACCAGGGATCTTGCTTGTGAAGAGAGCCTACAGACAAGGAGAACCCTTCTCTTCAGACTTGGCACTAGCATAGCCCATAGCTTCTCTGAGTTACTCAAGCCCCTTCGCCACGACAAGGCAGCAATCCATGAAGGAGTGGCACTGAAACTAGTAGGAATTAATGACAGAACAGGGGGATAGGCTAGCCATGGCCATAAACAGTATGTGAAAGAAATATAGGTTGAATCAGGATTTTATAAGTCACATAACAAGCTTTATAAAGTGGTGTGTGAAGAATTGTTTCCAGTCTGTGGCCCCTTCAAATGTTCCAGGGCCTCCCAAGGAGCCATATGTCCCCCGTTGAGAATGCCTGTTCTAGGTACTCCCTAATAAGCATGTTTACAGAGTCAGCAGCACTTACAATGCCAGAATAGGTCCAAAGATCTGCCTGGAGCACAGCACTGGGATACTAATGCATTTTGCATATAGTGTGGTCTCCTAGATATATGCTGGTAGATCTTGACCTATTTTCTGCCCCTTCCCCCCGCTGTCTCTATTCATTGCTATTTAGTTTTCTTAGCAAACATACTTCCCTAGTTCCCATTTCAGAAAATAGCATAAGGGGACTCTCTTCTTCCATCTGTCTTTTTCTCCCTTGGGTAGTTGAGTCGGGCTTGCAAGATAAATGTTTCAGCTGAGCCTGTTTGTAGCATCTGATATGCATAGAACGTACACTGGGATGGGGAGTTCTCGATCTGTTGATGGGGAAACAGTTTGTAGAAGAAAACATTTAAAAACCCCTGATACCTGCTGTGACACGTTTAGTGTTTAGGCAGAACATTAATTCAAATCAAATATTTTAGCATAGTGGTGCATGATGTCCCCTCGTTAGCGGCTGCTTTTTGCCTAAGCACTTCCTGCCAATGTATTAGAAATGTATTTATATATTTTTCTATCTACCGTTATAGATACAATACCTGATCCAGCAGTTCAGTGGGGGGTTTAAATGGCCCCCAAATAGCCTTCTCTTTATTTTGCATTAATTTGGGTTGGTACTGCATACACTCAAGCTCTCTTCAAAGTGGATCTGAATATCAATGCCAGTATTCAAGGATCCGTGCAACTGCTTCATATATCCAGATAAGCTTTGTGCTTCTGTTCCCTTTGCTGTGTGGAGAAATGCTTTTGAATCAGACAAGAGTCTCAAAAGCAGCTTGTGGTGATTTATTAAGAAGGGAGTGGGATTTGCAGTTTTGAGGAAACCAAAACCATTAATTCCAGATATCACCTGAGGATGGTTACAAACTCAGAGCTTGAAGAAATTATAATTTCTCACTATAGTTCCCTCAGTTTGTTTGGGATTTTGTAGCCTGAAGCAGAGGTCAGGATATTACATGTTAAAAGGTGGCATATTCATTATTGGTGCTCCAGTTGTATGAGCATTGTGCTGTACATTACTATTGGTGTCAACAGACCAGAAACAAAAAAGAATATAGTATTGTACTTTGGAAATATTGATAAAAATATAGAAGACAAACCCAAAGAATACTTTTTTGACACTTAAGTCTGATATGAGAGTGGCATAAAACCTGAACAATTGCTGTCGGAATGCCTTTGGGAATTCCTCAAAGTGCCTTGAAAAAGTAACTTTTGAAAGCAACATACCTGGAAATCTGCTCCATACCTGGAAAGTAACTAACAGTCCTATTAGTGGCCACCCCCAAGTATGTAGTTATACATAACCATATTATTTCTGAGTAACCTCTAAGCTATGCTTTGAAGAAGTCACGTTTGCAAGTTTTCTAGAAATTGTTGAACTCACTTCAGGTATAACACTTCACTTTAAACTCACGTCAAGATCCAGGCTGTTTTTCACCTCCTATTCACGGACAGGCTCTTTTGTGATTTCCTAGGACCAAATTTTTATGGAGAACGTGGGTGCTGTTAAGCAACTCTGCAAATTAACCAACAATCTTGAAGTGAGGATAGAAGAGCTGGAAGCATGGAACAAAAAACAAGCCAGACTGAAACGGATAAATAGCTTGAAATCAACAACAACTAGTGAAAAGACCTCAGTAAGGTACTGTATTGACATTTCTTCTTCGGAGCAAATGGTTTGACCAGAAGATGGGAAAGATGCTGTATTTTTATTTTATTTCTAAGAGCACTTTTCTTTTTTTTAAACACAGATCCCGCAACCCTCCAACTCATATATAGTATAAATGGAGCCTCTGTGATCTCAGGGGTTCCGATGTTATTTAATAACAACCTGAATATTTAGAGGTAGAGTTGAATCATTGTTCTCCTTATCTCTTTTTGGAGGCTTCTTTAAAATGTTATAATAAATAACAGGACTGTTCTATTACTTAGAACAGTGTCATTGCAACTTCACAGAAGTATCTCCATGATTGAAATGACACCTGAATACTAATAATTTCTGGAGATCCCTTGTTATGCCAAAAAATTTAGTCATATATAATTTTCAAGTGAAAAATGTGCTCCAAGCATCCACTGGAGCCTTTAAAGAAGAAATTCATAAATTTAAGCCATTTAAAAAGAATATTCACTTGAGCAAGTTCATCATGGAATTCTTTTATTGAAAATTATACCTTGTGAAACACCAGCCTTTGTATTTCCCTCTCTAAGAGTCTACTCAGCACATTTTTGGAAAAGGTTCTTTCTCAAGTGTTGAAAGATGCTTAGCACAAGATTTTCACCAACTATGGATGTAGTATTTACAGTATTTTGCTTTCTGATTTGTCATAGAGTGTGGTACCAGAAGGTAAACCTAGGCTTAATTTGCAAGTCTATTTCCCGAACAATTTTATCTGAGGAAACCCCAGAGGACCCAGGGTTTGACCCAACATTCTCCTTTTTCATTTGTCACTTACTGTGCTGCACTGCTGAATTATGAAAGTAATTGGTTGTTGTGGGGCCGTGGGAAAGCCTTTGCAAATATGAAAGTACGGTAATTCTTTTTAAAATATATCTGTTCCAGGAAAAATAGCCAAGCGAATACTTTTTTACCATCAGTAAGATCAAGTTCCATAAGACCCAGCAAGGTAAGGAAAATCATGAATGTAAATTCAGAAATGGTTTTTGAGGCTTAGGTAGAAAGATTATAGGAATAATAAGCCCGTTTTGTCAGTGTATTTTACATTGCAATCTGAATTAAAGAGAGGGAGAAATGAAGCAGAGGATATGGTGGTGATTTTAAATAGGAATAACCAGTCCTCTGGCCTGGACATCTTTCCGTTGCTGGTGTAGTTTCTTTCCACCAGTGGCTGTGTGCTTGCCTATGTCTCGTCCAGTGCCAGCTGCTTACTCCAGTTTTTGAGAATGCTGTTCATCCACTCCTAGATTTAGTCTGTACTTTACTGGAGTTAGCCAAGGTATAATGTCACAGGGACAAGGAGTGTGTGAACCTTTAGATGTCCTTGAACTACAACTGGCATTGTCCTTCACTATTGGCTATGCTGATACAGCTGAAAGAAGCTGCACTCCCAACAAAATCCGGAGGATTTTGTGTCATTAGGCTACAGTTCTCTGGACAGTTGTGTGTTTCATACGTTTCCATAAAAGTAATATACATGGTACTCAAGATGCACAGCCCATGTTTCACGTTGGTAGATCTGGAGTGAGCCAGCCCAGAGTTTGAAAACCATATATATATATATGTTTTTGGACTACAAGTCCCAGAATCTTTCAGCCTGCATGTACTATTCTGAAAATGAAGTTTTAAAATACTGAATTTTTGTTCCTTCCTCTTTAGGTGGGTTTTCCAGTGAAAAAACAGTCATGGTCCAGCCATAGGATTTTCCAAATAACTATAATTGCTTTGGTTGCATTGATGGCACTCTGGTAAGAAAAGCATATCAATATATGAGATGACCTGAATACACACCTTGGCTTCTCTGGTTTTGGAACTTCAACCAAATTTGATTATCACTGATACGAAGAAAAATTGCAATTCCTTTAAAATGTGACTCTTCTCAATTTGTCAGTAATTAAAAAGAAAAAAAAAAGAGTCAGCTTTGTATTTTTGGACTACAGCTCCCAGAATCCTGGAAGCTATTGTTCTAAAACCGCAAATCTATAGACAACTAGAAAGATCAGTTTAGCCAAATGACTAGAGATGGGTGTGAACCAGAGGTTTGGCAGGGTTTGTTTACCAGCCAATCAGCTGATCTGGGGTTCGGTGCCCCGCCCCCTCTGGCAGGTGCCCAATTGGATGCAGTGCCTCAGGCTCTGCATCCACGTGGGTGCCCACCAGAGGAGGCGGGGTGCTGAACCACATGGATCACCTGTTCAGCTGATAAACAAATCGCACCAAGCTGCCAAACCACTGATTTGTACCCATCTCTACAAATGGCCCTATTACTTTCTTTTATAATCTCCTAATGTATGATTGTCTAGATCTCAAACTATGAAACTGACGTCTCATTACAGTGTTGTGACGATATCCACCCTTTATGTTCTGAGCCTACCGGAACAGGATACTGTCCATTCTGAACACAGGCAAGTCACTAATTTGTTACTCCTTCGGGATTTTGTTCCTTTTCTTTGGAATGCCTTGGGCAGGCAGCTGCATATTAAAAGTGTACAAGCAATTATGGTACGGTTGGAACATGGCAAGTGTTAAAAGGACTGGCATGCCTTCAAAGGGGAATAAATTACATTTATGCAGCAGCCAGTTTTTCATGTGCCTTTGGTGCAACATGGGACTCTTGACTTGGCATCTGCATCCGTGTTGCTGTTAGTCTGGAGTATGACCCGCATGGTTCTATTCACTAATATTATTTTATCACCTTTTCCCAGCATTCCGACAAATCCAATAACAATCTCTCCATCCGCCATGCTGACAGGTAATGTTCCGTAATCTATTAACTGAAGCTGAAAAGTCAGTAGAGCTTAGACAGACAGATAAATTCTATTAACTGAAGCTGAAAAGTCAGTAGATCTTAGACAGACAAACAGGTAGATAGAGCTGATAAATCTGAAATTGTACTATGCAGACATAGATTCTGTTAACTGAAATGCAGTTTTTTAATCTCTGGAATCTTAAATTAAAAACAAATAAAAATATTCGTAGATCCAGGTTTCCAGTTTTTTTTTTGGCTGAAGACTTTGAAATATATGGGCAGTATAGCTAAATGTGGCTAGAGGTATGGGAAAGAGATTCCACTTACCTGGGTTTGTGCTGCTTCTCCTGTAGAGCAGAGAGTGGAGACAGAATAGATTAACTATTTAAAACAAGGAAATCTGTACAAAGACGAATAATCTGTGCAATCTATTAAGGTTGTAGAATTAGAATATCATGATACGGAGGCTGAAATCCTGTTGCTCAGCATGGTAAGTTGCATTAGAGTAGGCCCACTGAATCAGTGGGGATTTAGTGAGTCAACTCCTCCATAAATACCATTGATTCAAATAGGTCTTCCCTAACTGTGATTTATGGTGTTAAAATAAATCACAACTAGAGTAGATCCATTTAAATCAATGGGAGTTATGAAGGAACTGACTCATCAAATCCCTACTGATTCAATGGGCCTGCTCTAGTTGCAACTGACTATGCTAAGCAACAGGATTTCAGCTAGTGTTTGGTTTTGTTCAACGTGAGTGGTTACTAGTGTTGGTGAAATCCATGTTGCTAAAATCCATTTCCCGCTTTGTAGGGACCACATACAACAGAGCATCTTCAAACCTGAAACCAGTTGATACCATTCCTGAAGTGGATTTCTGTGACATTTTGCCTTGTCCCAGAACCTACTGCTGTCCAATTAATCAAATAATAACAAAAAATCTGAGAGATCCGAAGGTGAATGTGGAAGAACAGAGTAAGTTGAATCAGGAATAGATAGGACTCGGCTGCTACTCAAGGGAAGGATGAAAACACTTAGCAGTTGGACTGTGAAAACTGTTTCTGAAGGAACATTCCACCCTGCTGTTGTGTTCTTCTACTTATCCAAGGATGACCGTGTACAGGGAAATGTCAGCTTTTTTTAAAAAAATGAATGTATAAATGGCCCACAGTTGGAGAAGTCCTAGAGAACAGGATAGTTATGCTGAAGCTGCTGCAGGAAACTCAACAGAATCTAGTGACACCTGAAAGAGTAACAGATTTATTATGGCCTAGGTTTTAATGGGCTACAGCCCATTGCATTTGATAAAGTGGGCTGTAATTCACAAATGCTTGTGCCATAATAAATTTGCTAGATAGGGAGGTGTCACAAGGCTCTTTGTTATTCTAAGATGGGAGAACTTAATTCAATATTTGTGGTTTGTCTGGCCTGCCCACAAAGACTACTAAGTAAGGATTTACAGTATTTTAGAGGGAAGCTTTTCAAGTTGTTGTATTAAGAAGAATAAAGGTAATGTGTTGGGGAGATTCATGCAAAATACTTCTCTGTGGCTGCATACTGAGGGTTAGATTCTGATTCAGCATTAGCCCTAGCAGAGTGAGACAACTGGAAACAGAGGCAGAAAGAAGGGCACCATAAAGACTGGTTGTCAGACATCCAAGTTATTCATCTACAAAGTGGGTCCCTCTAGAAAAGTGTCCTTTAGCAGCTGGTTTGGGAAAACCCAATCTTCACCAGACTTGGAGGGATTGTAGAGGGGTGTCAGAGGAAGCCTCCCTGCAGTTTTGGTGTCTCCAGGTGCCTGGGGGGCTGTTTTATAGTCAAATGAATCAATGAATAAAAATTCATTGATTTGTATTTGTTGGGGGCATTGATTCATATGAATATGAACCAATGAATTAGCAATTTTTGCATGAATTGGTGATCTGTTTTTTGATTCGTGGCCATCTCTAGTCAGAGGTTTTGAAGGTCTGGATCAAGCTTTGGAGAACTTATATGTTTAGACCGTGTCTCTCAGAATTCCCCAAGTTAGCAGGGCCCCTGGTCATACTGACTGGGGGATTCTGGCAGACATTGTCCTACAAAGACTCTTTTCAAGCTCTGTTTTGGATTTCTCGCAAAGAACTAGATGGCCAATATGGCTCTCTCCTAGCGTGATTCTATCCCCTGTGCCTCCTTTCTTCTCCAAAGAGAATGGTCCGAAAAAAACTTTGTCCAAGGTCTAATCCAGACCCTTTAAAAAAAACCCCAAATGGCATTGTCTAGCCCCTGCCTCTCTTAATAACCCCCTTTTTGGAATATTTATGTATCCTTCAGACTCATCCTTGGCCGGTATTCAAGAGAAGTCATATAAGGCTTCATATATATACACAGTCGTGCCTTGACTTATGAACTTAATTGGTTCTGGAACTCCAGTCGCAACTCAAAATGGTTGTAAGTCGGAACACCATTTCCCATAGGGAACGCATTGAAATGCAATTAATCCATTCCGGTCGAAGAAGAAGAAGAAGAAGAAGAAGAAGATGATGATGATAATACACCCAACAACAACACTGCAAGACCCATCGGAAATGCGATTAATCCATTCTGGCCAAAAGGGGAGGGGGGGAAGAAAAGCAAACAAACCGTGCAAGACCCTTCGAAAATGCAACAAACAAACAAACCCCAACAACAAAAAACAAACCCCACAAGACCCATCGGAAATGGGGAGGGGACCCAAAAGCAAACAAGCACTGCAAGACCCATCAGAAATGGGGGGGGACCAATAAAAAGAAAACAAACCCTGCAAGACCCATCGGAAATGGGGGAAAAACAAACCAAAAAAACAAACAAACCCTGCAAGACCCATCACAGCATAGAAACATCATCCCACCACCCAGCCCAAAACCACGCTGCAAAACCCACCCAGAACATTTTTTAAAAAGTAGAAAGCAGCACCTTACCAGGCAGTCCAAAGCCTTCTCCGATAACACACTCTCTAACCAATGGGGCGAAAGAGCTACAAAGAAGCAGTCATTTTGCCACCAACGGTTAGCAAATTGAATTCCTCGCCTTTTCCCCCTGCCTTTTTCTGGTTGTAACTCGAAACTCCAGCCACAAATCAAAGCAAAATTTTGGTCGTAACTCAACATGGTCGTATGTCAAGATGTTCATAAGTCAAGGCACCACTGTGTATTGTCTCAGTTTTGAAAGGCTCTCAGGAAGGTGATGAATTCCTTTTCTCCCCTCAGGAAATGAAAGCAAAGATCCATTGGAACAAAAGTGGATTGAGAAGCCGGATCTTGGAAATGATTGTAAGATTATCTCTCTTCTTGCCTTCGAAAACTAACTTTATGGGCTGTACCTGTTTAAGGAAATTGCATGTGCAATGTACTGCTAGGATGGCTTGTGCCTCTCTAAGTTTCTGTGGGACCTGTTATAACATTCTTATGGCCATAATTTAAAGGAGATGTGTTTGCTTAACCTGATTTGCAAATAATTACTCACTCACCACTTTCTTTGCTGCAGTTTGCTTTTCTTCTACCTCCTGTTGCCAGCAAGAGAGGGAAGAGCTGTTACCTGAAGGGGTCTCTTTTTGCTCAGATGGATTGCCAAGTATCTCTTCTGCTTTGCATCCCATGCAGATACATTTACCTTCCTATTTCTATCCCCTGACCCTGTCTGCTTCCTGTAGCTTTGTACCTGAACACCTTTTCATCATAACACAATACGGTTTAATTTAAATGTGTGTTCTGCCTCTGATGTGGGGACGTCAGAGAGCTATCCCAGCTATGCGCTCCTGCTTTTGAAGGAGTAGGATACACATTTAAGGCTGAGGAGCTGACATCTGTGTAAAGACTTATTAGATGATACTCCTCATTTGTTTTACAAACAATGTTCTTTTCAGTTGAGAAGGATGTCTGTCTGTCCTAGTATGCCCTTTTCTTCACTTCTCTTGCATTCCAGGATGCTTTGTTTTGTGATAGATCACTAGAAGATAAATACAGGCATAATTTGATGTCTGATTGGTCAGGTACACAATGCTGTGAAAATCCCAATGCGATCCTCTTCATTTTTGGGCCCTGGTGCTACTGGAAATGGACAGCTACAGTATTTTAGACTGTTTTTTTTAAAAAATTCTTCAGGATCAAGCTACATACTACATGAAACACATAGATCAATATTCTGTTGCGATTTAACAAATATGCACAGCGTTGTGCAGACAGGTATTCTATTTGGTGATGCATCTGTTGTGCAGCTGACTGTGTGACTGGTTGCACAACCAGCCATGTAATGGATACTTTAGAAAATAGTGCACTTCTTGCACAACATCACTTTTGTGTTGTTCGTAAACAGATGTTTGGGTAGGTCATTTTAGATTGATTATATGTTTTTAATATAACACTGCCAGAGGTTTTACCAATATTAAGGATATATGATATTATTAATTGGAAAGAAGGGGTTGTTTTATCATGTTTTATCATGTTGTAATTGAAATTTATTATCCTGCCTGAAACAATAACTGTATGTGTCTATTTTATACTGTTTTGGTTTTACTGGTCATAGACCGTAATAAAGTACTACTACTACTACTACATCAGTTTTGTGTGCATGTGCCTACATACAGCTTTCTCCTCCCAAATTGTTGAACATAACTCAGAAACGTACCTTTATGGAAAAAAAAAAGATGATATGCTGATGCCATCAACCACTAATCAGCAATTACAGGATGACACTCTGGAACCACCTGTTCAAAAAACACCATGTCCCAATATTGTGCTATACTGTAGATGTATCATATAAAACCAACTGTTATCATTAGTAGGTTTTTTTAAACATACTTTTAAAGAAGTGTCTCTTGAGAGTCCCCTGGACTGCAAGGAGAACAAACCTATTCATTCTAAAGGAAATCAAACCTGAGTGCTCACTGGAAGGACAGATCCTGAAACTGAGGCTCCAGTACTTTGGCCATCTCATCAGAAGAGAAGCTTCCCTGGAAAAGACCCTGATGTTGGGAAAGTGTGAAGGCAAGAGGAGAAGGGGATGACAGAGGATGAGATGGTTGGACAGTGTCATCGAAGCAACCAACATGAATTTGACACAACTCCGGGAGGCAGTGGAAGACAGGAGGGCCTGGCATGCTCTGGTCCATGGGGTCACGAAGAGTCAGACATGACTAAACGACAAAAGAAATGTCACTTAAGTAAAGCATGTCTGTTGGTGAACTAATCCAGAGGTGCTGATAGTGGTTCTTTTTGGTTTTAGGGATTGATACAAGAATCAGCTCTATGCAGATCTTTGAGACACAGCAGAAAATAGACCATCGCTACTGTCAAAAAAACCCGCAGTGCAGGTGAGTAAAATGGTTTACTTATCCTTCCTTTGTCTTATGCAGTAACACAGTTTGAATATTTGCATGGAAAAAAATACTATGGCCAAGTGGTGTTTCACCATTGAAATAGCAGACCTGTTTGCTCTACTCAGACCAGCTTCTTATGGCCAAATTAGGGTTCATCACTCATGCCGTTCAAATAGCTGAGCAGCTTGGGCTGATTACAGATCACTGTTCCCCTTTCGAATAGCTGGCTGACTTGCTATTGTGCCAGAGAAATTTCCCCGAACTTCACACAAGGTTTTCACTTCTACTGATGGTTGTCTAGTCTTTCAATCAGACATGATTTTTCTCTACTATTTATTCTTTTAGATCTGGAAATTATAGTTACATTGTTCCCCTCAACAAATTCACACCACTCAAGGTGAAAATCTCACTGGAAATCAAGTAAGTACATGGACAGACTTGGCTACAGACAATCTATTTTCACAGAGTATTTGCTCTTATACATAAGTGTGAAAGTTCTAGTTATTCACAGTTATTTATTTAGTGTATGCCTGTGTTTTCACACACTCAAGGAGATTTGCAACGCATAATTGAATAATATCAGGATAAAAATCACATCAAAAATTGATGATCATGATAGTAAATAGTATCAATAGTAATATTAGTAAAATTAGTAGTAGTCAATTGAACTTACTCTATATAAGTCTCCCCAAAAGGTATTGCATGCAATTGCCCAATACAGAGATTTAATCTACCTCTTTATTATCTCCCTAGATAGTTTCTTGAGTCTATGGTCATATGAAATTGCAGCCCTTTTCTGCTAGGCTTCAGATAAAATCACATCAAAAATTGATGATCATGATAGTAAATAGTATCAATAGTAATATTAGTAAAATTAGTAGTAGTTGTGACGTTCCTCTTTCACGTCACAATGGTCAATTGAACTTACTCTATATAAGTCTCCCCAAAAGGTATTGCATGCAATTGCCCAATATAGAGGTTTAATCTACCTCTTTATTATCTCCCTAGATAGTTTCTTGAGTCTATGGTCATATGAAATTGCAGCCCTTTTGTGCTAGGCTTTAGATTGAGAATGCCTTCTGTATACCTTTATAATCGTCCCTACTAGATGATGGTAGCTTAACATTAAAAACAAAATAATATAAAATGTAATATAAATTTACGATTTTAACAGTTAATTTAAAGCAAAGAGTCCCAAGATGGCAAGAATTAAAGAAGAAAAATAAGAAAGACTTAATTGATTGAAGGGAAGGCCTGCTTGAATAGCCAAGTTTGAGAATGGAGAAACTTGTGCTCCCCCAATACTCTGGGCTATGCCTTCTGTATACCTTTATAATCGGCCCTACTAGATGGGATGATGGTAGCTGGAGGCTGAAACAACTAAAGGATCAAAGTTCCCAGTCTTGCTTTCCAGACATGTCTACCAAATTTAGAGGGTGTGCACTTTCCCTAGCTGCTTAGAATGAAAGCATCCATAACTAGGCTTCAGGATTGGCCTGGTTAATGGTCTACTGCCATAGGACAAGATGGCCTTAGACCAGGCCTTTGGGGCAGATGGAGGGGGGTTGGGACAGAGGAAAGATGGGCAGTATACCATGCTCGTCTGAGGCAGCAGAGGACTGGTCTATGCAGAGCTTGGTAGATCAAGCCTTTCCCATTGGAGATCAGGTGTACCCAAGGCTGAACGGACCAGGCCTTTGTCCTAGACATGGAGGAGCAGCAGGAAACAGCAGTATCGAGAGGGATAGCTGGTCTACCTAGATCATAGGTAGACCAGGCTTTCCCTGTTGGAGAGTAGATCTGGCTAAGGCTCAGTGGGCCAGGCCTCTGTTTGGACATGGAGGAGCAAGAGGCATCAATGTCCAGACAGATGGCAGGTGTACCTATATTATGGAGACATGGAGGAGCAGCAGGAAACAGCAGTATCGAGAGGGATAGCTGGTCTACCTAGATCATAGGTAGACCAGGCTTTCCCTGTTGGAGAGTAGATCTGGCTAAGGCTCAGTGGGCCAGGCCTCTGTTTGGACATGGAGGAGCAAGAGGCATCAATGTCCAGACAGATGGCAGGTGTACCTATATTATGGATAGACAGGCCTTCTCTCTCTCTCTCTCTGAAGGCAAGTCTGTTCAGGGCTCAGTATACTATGCCTTTGGTCCACACACAGAAAATCAGCTACACACATTATAGTATATTATATTTGTATATTTTAAACACATTTCTGCTTTTTTTTAAAAAAAAAAGTCTGATAGTTCTGCTGATCCCTTGTGGAGGAAGGGAGATGCTAGCAAGCATTCTGTGCTAAAATTACTCCTTGTATGGATAGACAGGCCTTCTCTCTCTCTCTCTCTCTCTCTCTCTCTCTCTCTCTCTCTGAAGGCAAGTCTGTTCAGGGCTCAGTATACTATGCCTTTGGTCCACACACAGAAAATCAGCTACACACATTATAGTATATTATATTTGTATATTTTAAACACATTTCTGCTTTTTTTTAAAAAAAAAAGTCTGATAGTTCTGCTGATCCCTTGTGGAGGAAGGGAGATGCTAGCAAGTATTCTGTGCTAAGATTACTTCTTGTATCATTTTCACACCATGAATTATAAAGTTGATTGGAAGCACAGTCTGTGCTGCTTGCCCCTGGGGTCAAAATTACTAGTTTCAGCTCTGGAGATTTGTACTCTGTCCTGCCACTGCCAATTCAGATGTTGCTGATATCCCCATACCTCCATAGTGCCATTCCCATACCTCAATGATAATCTCTAAGTAAGTGGAATTGGTAGATTTTAGCAGAGCATTTCTGTGAGATCTTGTCCCATGAATGATGCTAACATTTTTTGTACCTATTGCTTACGTTTTCCCTTGTGAATACTTCAGCTGTACAGTTTTTGTTTCTCAGCATCTAACTTATTTTTCATTAAAGCAGCAGAAGGATCTTTACAGATTTTCTTGTCCTTGTTTCTTGAAGTACGACAGAGCCGTTAATGATCTTTCAATGCAACGTCATATTTGGAAATTCTTGCTCCTTTCCCCCACTGCTCCTTAAGAAGAAGGAATCCTTCCCTGAAACCACACAGGTATTAGAGTTTCTTGCCTTGAGTACAGTTGTTCCATTTGCATTTGCCTGTCGGTGAAAACAAAAACTAAACTGAAAGGAAGCACATGCACACACACAAATATAAATTAAATTCCTGTTGGACTAAGGCTGTGTGGGGAGAAGGAGCTTCAATTTAGTCATGTCACAAGATCAGCCATGTCATGTTGTTTGAAACACAAAAGGTCAGGTTCTAGGAACAGCATGAAATGCAATCTTAACTGGCCAAGATAGCCCAGGGTCAGCTGAGCTGATACGAGCCTAGCTTCAGGCATCTAGTGGAGAGGGATGGGAGTTGTCTACTTAAAGAGAGACAACAGCCCTGTAATAAAACCAGAGTTTGGGAAAGCTACCTTTTGGATTGCAATTCCCATACTCCTCACTTCCCCCTGCCAGCATGGCTGTTCACTTTTCAAAGCTCCGGTGTCCATTATCCCTTTCTAAAATTAGCTGGACAGGCTTCATGTGACTTTTTCTGTCGAACTCATGATGCCTGTAAGCTTGTTTACTCAGTAATGTCTCATATGTGGAAAGATGCCTGTTTAGGAGCTGAAGCTGGGCTTTGAATTTTATATACAGTATATATTTGATGTAACAGGATAATATCCATAAAGGGGGGCAATGAAAGAAATGTATTCTTACACATCTTTTGCCTGCTATGGTCACATGTTTTAGAATTTGCTCCAGGCTGGAGCTTTCATGTATAATGAGAACATAGACCCTGCCCCCATGAACATTTGGTTACTCAATCATCTTTTTCATTTGTTATACAGGGATTTCAGCACCTTTGGGTCCTTCCAGTTGCTTCGTTGCATGAGAGTGCATACCATTTTCGTGTAGCTGCTCCAGTAAGTCTTGTTTCAAAAGGAAAAGAATACAATGAAACCTTAGCTAGGAGTAGGCTCAGAGATTGTAAACTCTGGTTGTTATGGGTTTTCCGGGCTGTTTGGCCATGTTCTTAATGTTTTTCTTCCCAACGTTTCACAAATCTCTGTGGCCGGCATTTTCAGAGGTTCTCTGAAGATGCCGGCCACAGAGACTGGTGAAACATTAGGAAGAAAAAGCTTACGAACACAGCCAAACAGCCCGGAAAACCCACAACAACCATCGGATCCCAGTCGTGAAAGCCTTTGAGAATACATTGTAAACTCTCTTTGTTTGGACTTTGTAATAATAATGTTACATTTTTTTTCCAAGCTTTGATTAGACAAGGTCTTAAGCAGCAATGATTTCTCTCTCCCAACAGGACCTTGCAGACTGTTCAACAGACCCTCACTATTCTGGGATATTTTTCACTGATTACTATTTCTACTTCTACCGCAACTGCTTCTGAAAAAGTGGTTCTAGATTTATCTCTCCACTGCTCTAGAGAATGAGTGTCGCCTCAAATTTTCCTGGTAGATATTTACTGAGGTTTGATCTTTAACACTTCTACATTGGAAATAAATGGAACTGTACAAAATAAGTGGAACGGTATAAAGCTTTGCTGTTGTTAATAGGTATTCACATAGCCACCACTAGTAAAGCAGTATGACTGCTGACAAAGAGAACATATGAGCCTACTTCACTTTAAGCTGATTTCTGTCTGTAAGACTCAGTTGGCTTAAATCCAACTGTCTGCTCTAGTTTGTGGATTGGGTGGTAATCATTTATTTCAATGGTATTCTGGAAGATAGTAATTGGAGAGAAGCAATCTTCTTTTGCAGAGCCTCTCAACATGTTTAACTGTTCCCTAACCAAAGGGAGACAATTGGATTTTTAATGGGATTTGGGCCATATAACATGACCTTGTGTTCTCTTAACCCATGTTAATCAAACTAAAGCAGCAAGCGGGGGGGGGGGGGGGAGAGGAAAAAAGAGAAAAAGATCTTGTTAATCACATAGCAAAACATGCTCCTCCTGATTTTACCCATAAGCATATATTGTAAGAAAAAGAAGGGGTAGGAAGAAATCCTCCACCTTTTTCTTTTCTCTGAAAACTGAATCTCAAATTGAAGCTGTGATGAATCTTAGGTACCATAATCATACAATTCTCCTTTCTAAATCAGCTGATCTGATTTTGCATTGCCTTGAGCACTCCCTATGCTCAAGGCAACCTGACAACAGCAGATCTTGAAGGGTGGCATCTGGTGTTCTTTGGGTTAGTGGGACCAAAGAAACAGAAGCCAAAGGAGATGGAGCCAAGAGGGGGGACAGGGATCGTGAAGAGCGGAGTTCAGCAGGAGGGGCAGGGTCCTGACCCTCCTCCTTTTCTAAGAACACAAGCAGGAATGGGCTGGCTAGGAATAGCCTGAGGCAGGGATAGGACAATAGTGTCCCACTTGCCCTAATGAATGGGGCCTTTATCATAACAGAGTGGAGTCAGGCATGTCAGTGGATCATCATTGTATAGCCTAATAACCAGATTTCTATGGATGCTTAAGCAAATGCATCAAACAAAACCAAGAAATGCCTCAAGAGGTAGATGTATTCACAAACAGTCGCTCTGGCTGGAACTGCATGTTGGAGATGACTTATAGTAAGGTTACCTGCAATCCAGAACAAAACCACTAGTATCATATGCATGTTTTAATGTGGCAAAACTGGAACCCTGGGCTGTCCCTCTCAGGCAAAAACAGTGCTAGCCTGTTACTGCCAAAATAGCAGGGAAACCTCCCAGCACTGGCCCCCTGGGCCATGTTGTTTTTGCCTGCGGAGTCAAGCTTCAGTGTCTCCGTTTCCCTTCATTCTGTTCAGGGCGTGCTTGTCCAGCAGGCAGCTGGAGAGTGGTGGCCAAGGAACACAGCTTGGCAGCAGCAACAGTAGTGGCGGATGTCTTCTTGGCTCTCAGAGACCCACCCACCATTGCCACTGCCACTGTGTTGCCACCTGGCTGGCCTCCAGGATGTCTTCTTGGCTCTCAGAGACCCACCCGCCATTGCCACTGCCACTGTGTTGCCATCCAGCTGGCCTCCAGACAAACGAGCCCTGCAGAAGAGGAAGGGCTCTCTTGCCTAGCCAAAGCCTTACCACTCTTTACAATGGTACTCATTGCCCCTATATTAAAGCACAGAGAGGTGTACATCATGCAGTAATATAATAGTCTTTAAGGTGTTTTTTCAAAATTTTCTGACAGACTAACAACAGCTACTTCTTTGAAAACATAAGCAAACATTTGATACTACTCGGGGGATATAGTAAATGTATACACGCTTTCAGTCTAAGGAGACCAGCAAGACTGGTTGCAACCACAAGCACAAAACATCAGTATAGACCTTAAACATTATACATAGAATCCTGTTTGTTTGTGTATATGTGTGTAGTAGTCCATTATATATATGGCTCTTTTTTCCTGCAGTTTGTGTAAGGGAATAATCACCATTCTGATGCATGTGGCAGCCCCATTGACATGAACAGGGTGTCTTATATCAGTGTTCCCCAACCTTGGGCCTCCAGATGTTCTTGGACTTCAACTCCCAGAAATCCTGGCCAGCAGAGGTGGTGGTGAGGGCTTCTGGGAGTTGTAGTCTAAGAACATCTGGAGGCCCAAGGTTGGGGACCACTGTCTTATATGACTGCAAGCTGGAGAATGAATGGAGCCATCCAGACAGTACGCCTGTGGAGCATTAATATTTTGCTCCACATTTTCCTAGATGTGACCACAGTTCTTGAAGCAAACTCTCCCAGAAAGTGTGTGCAAAACAATGAGTGCTATCCACACTGCTCATGAGATTTGTGGCCAAAACCAGGTAGTACCATACATTTCACTTCACATTCTAAAAGGGAATGGTGCAAGTAGATACAGCAAACAGAAACTCCACACAATAAACACCAGGCCATCTGAGCTTGCAGGATGTTGACAAGGAGCCAGATGTTGACTAGCTTCCAGTGATACCGCTTCTGTTAGCATGCAGCCCTTCCAATGCTGTTGGATTTCAACTTCCACCAGCCCTCATTTGGGAAAGTGGTCAGGGACAGTGAGAGTTGGAGTCCCACAACATCTGGAAGGCCCATCTCTATGGCACAAAGATTTCACCCTGTGACAATCATGGAAATGGGGTCTAATGAAGTGGACTTGTCTGCAAATGCTCACATTAAAAAAAATATAAAAGTTAGTCCTTAAAGTGGTGCCATGTTTTTATCTTTTAAAAAAATAATTATTTCTATCTTGCTTTTACCTGTAGTGCTTGCACAGACGAACAGGGCTACTCTTTCTACAACTACAACATGGAAATGGGTGTAAATCAGGGGTGGGCGAAGTCTGATGCTTGAGCCACGAGACTGCTTCTGTAGTTCCAGTTCTTTCCTGGTCCCAACTTCTTACAGCAAAAAAGTGCATTATTTTTCCTGTGGTAGCAATTCACATTTTAAATATGCCACAATTTAACATGAAAATTGTCTATATTTGTAGACACTTCTGGTTTGTTTTTGGCATTTTGAGAGGGCCGTGTGCCTCCCCCCAAGATGATACTGGGGGCAGAAAATTGGCCGCAAGAGTTGTAAACACTTTAATTGATTGCAATCCCACACATGATTAAGGAAATCCAATCTCTCTGCTTTCAGTGAAAAATTATTGGGGTCAACTGTAGGAAGGACTGCAGCTAAAAAAATCAATAAGTACTGTGTTGGTTTTACAGCAATGTATGGATAAATTCATTGTGAGCACTATAAAAGTTAGGTGATGAATGCTGCAGCTATTCATCAACAGTCATTTTTAGCCAGGGAAGACTAGTATTTTTATCGTGTCAAAATAAGATAATTCAGATTTAGATATTTTCTGTAGGAAGGTACTATGTTAGCTGAAGTCTTGGATGTGGTCACCTTGTTTTGTAATGAAACCACTAAAACTGATATAATAAAGATTTTAAAAAGAAGACTGAAATACTGTATTTCTGTTTCAGTTACAGTAATTTCTAAATTTCCAGCTGTGTGTTTAGATTAAGACGCAGATATATTAAGCAATTTTCACTCCTCTTTCTGCTCTTTCTGTTTGATGTCTAAGGGGCCACCCCAGTTTATGTTGCTGGTTGATGTATATTAAAGTTTGGTTTGAATCAGATGCTGATGACTTAATAAGTTTATTAAAATGGTTCTATACATTTCCTTGGCAGAGTCCCTAAGGCAGGTCTACAACAGGGTCTCATAGGGTGGGATCACATGGGGAAACAGATTGCAAATTAGACCACTTGGTCTGGTGTGTGATCTCTTTTCCAGTGAACAGGGAAATGTGCTCCAGCCCAGCTTTTTTGCTGCAGCGGTAGGGCTACTATTTTTCGGGGCAGGTTTGGAGCAATGCCCCAGCAGAAGGGAGGGTTGCTCTAAGAGAGATTGCTCTGTTAAAGCAACCCTTTTTGGTGCATTCAAGCACGCATCTTTGCAGCCATCTGATCATACCCTCAGTCTAGGCTGAAGGTGAGGGGGATGTGGGCCTGGACTGTATTTAGAGAGAGACTTAATTCACTGTGCATGAATGCAACACAGTGCTGACCCACTTATATTCCTAGCTGCTACAGAACTGGCAGCTGCTTTCTGAAACACACACACAAGCAAAGACACGCATGCACAGGCTGGAATTAACACCAAATTGTGTGTTATGCTCTGTGGCTTCAGAACAGTGTTTCCTCCTGACAGCTGTCTATCATTTCATTTCATCGAACAGCAATGTCCTGCTACCTGTACCTGGTTTATCATCAAGGCAATTTTTATTTTTCAGTTATCCTCCCAAAGCTTCTGTTTCTAACTCATCCTAATTGTTTTTTCATTAGTCGTCTTTCAGCATTTTCCTGAATTGCATGCTTTGGTCATGTAAAGGGCCTGCTGCTGGTGGCTTGCTCTTTATGTAACCTCTAGAGCAATTAAATGTGCTTTGATTAGTCCTTTCACAACCATTTGTCTGCTTGATTTCTTCAACCAATATTGGATGCTGCTTTCTGACCCTACATGACCAGAGAGATAAAAACCATTTTTAAAGCAATTAGAACAAGTGGTGGTATTGGTGAGTTCTTCTTGCTTTGTCTTGTTTTTTTATGAATGAGATTTAAAACCAAATTATTTTTTTGTTATGGTAGTGGTGGGGGAAGGGATTGCTTCAATTTCCAGAAGCTACATCATTTTCATCAGTGTCCACAGCCTACACAGACATGAAAGGGAGATTTGTAGAGATTACTTGATGTAACTCTCTCAATTCCAGGAATTATCTATCTTCCTGTTTATGTTTTCTATTTTCTTTCTTTCTTTCTTTCTTTCTTTCAGTGGAGTTGCTGCCTATGTTAATTCATTTTTCTTTCTTTTTATAACATTCTTGACATTACAGAAGGGCAAAAAAGAACGTGACCCACTTACTTTTTTAAAAATGGCTTCAGCAACTGTTCTTAGAAGATTGGAGCGAAATTTATGAATATACTAAAACTAGAAGGTAGAGAGATGAGTTCCCCATCTTCAGTTATTCAAACACTGTTTCTAATATATTGCTATGCTCTATCCCATTTTGCTGAAGAGCATGTTCTCCTGATCACATACAATTTCTGT